AGATATGAGCTGCGAAAGTTAAGGTATTAATTTTTTTTTAAATGTAGATTTGCTTGATTTCTATTGACGGCAGCCCATATTAACTGCAAAATGCATGAGATAAAAATCACTTTATTTTGTTAATTTTTTTTTTATTTTTTTGTCATATGAGCCAAAAATTTTCTAAATACTTACGTACGTAGTCCTATAAAATAAACCAGTCGAACTGACAGAACCAAAGTAGAGATGATGATCAATCACACAATAACTAATTACTCAATCTTATTGTTCACTAAATTTTTTATCAATACGTCCTATCGTGAGAAAAATCGAATGCATTAATCATTAAATTTAATTCAAAACAACATCTTATTCTAAAGATATGAAAAAAAATGACCGAGCATGGTCGATCATTCGTGATCGATCATATGAAAATTAAAAAATTTTGGCACCATCTCTAAACCAAAAGCATCAAAAAAGTATTTGATCTTGCCTTTTTCCTGAGTTCTACTAACCTTTGTTATCATCAACTTAAGAAATTTACTTATGTAGTTGTTATTATGCCCAGTAGGTGAGTTAGATCATAACGATAAAGAAGTAATAGAAAGCTATTATGAAGTTGGATCATATGCAATTCCGCTTAGTCCTTGAATTGGGTTCGTTTGTCTTGGTTTAAATTATTTTTAACTAATCCATAAGTTTCTTTTATACGTTAAAAAGATTGAGTTTTTATCTTATCTGTCGTTTATCGTCACAATAAACAAAGCTTTCCTTTGCTAATTGTACGTATGACGTTCAAGTATTTCAACAAGCCCAATATCCTAGATTGAATATATTAAAAAATAATATAAAATTGCGCGCAATCAAGCTATTGAAGAATGAATATGAAAATTCAAACAGCAATAAATGATAAAGATATGTTAATAAATTCAACATCTCTTTTTACTTTGGATTTCCATATAGAAAAAGGTCAAAACTTTGGGAAACATTATGACCGAAACTTCATCAGATTTCTGTTCGATTTCTTCACAAACTCAAAACACCCTTATTATAGATAAAGGGTTTCGAGTTTCCATTTTTTTGTAAATTATAATCCTCAAAATCATGCATTATTAGATATCATCATTTGAAGTTTCTTCACAATCTTAACCTGCCTCGTAAAGTAGAATTTCCATTGAAAAAACCATTCCGATTGCAAACTATTTAGGAATCATGAAGGAGTGGAACGTTATTTATTTACGCTCCCTTCAGTGTCCTTATCGTTGTCGACATGTGGTTACATCAATAGGCAATTCCAACCAGAACACAGGCAGGAAGATAAAAAATTGCCGCGTATTCTTCTTGCATAATATAGTAATACTTTTTCGTTACACGATGTTGAAGTAATGTCTCGTGTTTATAACCAATCAAATCATGAATTTGAATTTTGAAAAAAAAATAAAATATCATATAAACCACGACATCATCGTAAAAATGCGTTCATTTACCAACGTAACTCGGCCTTTCTCAGAGTTTAATTATTTATTAAAGTTTCAGAGGCTTCATCTTTCTCAAGATGTTTCCCCTTTCACCAGGGGTTTTTCCTTTCGCCGGAGTTTTGTCATTTCGCCGGGGAGTTCTGCCATTCGTTCTTCACCGGTTTTAGGTTACGTCTCTCGCCAGATACATAGTACAGCATCCGTTCAAAATGATATGGATGAATATAATAAAATTCTCAACTCTCAACGCGCTGCTCGACCTCTATCTCCTCATATGACCATTTATCAACCTCAAATAACATGGTATATGTCCGGTTTTCACAGAATTACTGGAGGAGTTTTGGCAACTGGTAAAAATTTTAATAAATTAAATAAATTATCCTGTAAAATATAAACTTATTTAATTCGCTCCGTTAAGTTCTTTATGGAGGTGCTATAGTATACGCTATTCAGGGCCCGTTAGGATTAGGATTAAACACAGATTCGCTTGTCGCTGAAATAGCTACACTTCCAACTTCCCTTAAATTGGCCGGAAAATTCGCTTTTGCTTTTCCATTTACTTATCATACCTTTAATGGTATTAGGCATTTGGTAAGTTTTATTGTTTGCATTTATTAATAAAATATATTCAAAAATACTTACATTTTTATTATTTCACCGGAAGATCTGGGATACTGGAAATGCATTAACACTCAAAGGTGTTTATTCTACAGGATATACTGTATTAGGGCTCTCTGCCATTACCACCCTTGGAGTGTGTATGATTTAAACTACTTTCTGATATTAAATGATAATTGTTTTTTAGTATCAGTTTTAAATTAAGTGCCAGTTCATAATTTTATCAGTAGTAAAGTATCGCTTAACTAAGAATATAATCATATAATCATATAGTCATTTAAATTTATAACCGTTTGATGGATCAATCTGTAGCGATATAATAATATCTAAAATAGTTCTGTAGCTCCAACAAACCTGCACGTGATAATCGCGAATCTTCTTACATGTTACGTACGCGGGTACGTATTACTCAAAATGATACACGAATTAATGTTTGATTTTAACGACTAAAATGATGCGAAATGATAAGATTATCAATAATCAAATTATATATATAATTTGAAACGGT